TTGGCTGGAAAGGTTTTCTATGAGCATCTGTCCCTGCAGGACCTAAATCCAACCTAACCCCACACCTCTCCTCTGCCAGCAGTACCCCCATCTCTGCCTCTCAACAAGCTCCGCTTCTCTCCTGGCCACTCTACTTTCTCTGACATTTTTAGCACTGTGACGTGCTGTCTTATGTGCTGTAACACCCTGTACTCCTCTCGTGTATCCGATTCCTTCTGCTGTACGAATTCTGCCACCGAAACGAAGCTATAAAAACTATGCAGTGAATTATGTACAAAGACCTCCCCCATTCCCTTACCAGGCTAGCTCCATTTTTAGCAATCACAAGTCATCTCAGATGCACTGAATAAAAGATAGCTACCTGCCTTCAGAGAGCAATTTTGCCTGTTCCCAAGAGGCTGCGGAAGGTGGGATTCACTGTATTTACTGCTGTAACTACAGCTCTCAGGGCTGCATCCCCTCTGAGCTGTGCTGGTCAACCTTAACAGCACACAAGGATGTGCTGGTGCTGAACACGCTGACCAATTTTTCTTGGCGTATTACAGAAACAATCTCCATGCCTTTCCCAGTTTCCATCTCCAATGGCCTTGATTTCTCATAGCCTGAACTGTATTAATGACACATTTCATTATTTTGTTAAAAGGACTTGGATAAAAGGAGATCCCTAAAGGCAATTTGCCATAGAAGAGTCTAGAAGACCCCTGCCTTTGATACCAAAAGAGAGACATTCAGTGAATAGCTAAGACATGAATCTCCTGAATGGTGCGTTTAGGAATGAAGTCTTTTGGTAATTTTCTTGAATGACAACGGATAATTTTTGGTGAAGGAAAGTGAATTTTCACATGGCCATATGGTCACAAGCCAGGCTGGTATTTTCTCCAGCTTCCTTTCAGTTACGGCTCCATAGTGAAGCAGAGAAGGGCAGGTAGCTCTCCGTGCCTAAGAGCAGGTACTGGTTCACCAGCCCTGCACGAACAGATGGGAGAATTGGTCCAAGCCATAGCTTGCAGAAACAGCACAAGACAGAGCAAAGCCGAGAGGTGCAAGATGCCCATGTCGGCAGCGTGAGCGCCAGGCTGCATTCTGCCTCCAGCCCTTCTCACAACGGTGGCTTCAGGCAGGGCTCTGCCTGGTGCTGCCCTCACGGTGGGGAGAGGAAGATGATATGGCTAACAAGATGATGCTTCATTGCTGGACAGGCAGACTCATCTCAGGTAATACAAGAACAATCCTCTAAGTCTTTGCTAGTCATCACCTGCCGTGCTTTTCTAAGATAAAAATCACCTTAGCTCTCCATAACTTAATCATCTCAGCAGTAGCCAGCAAGAATAAAAAAGCCGATGAGTACCACTTATTAGGGACTATGGCAGCTAGCAGTCTTTTGTTCCAGGTCCATTTTTGTCTTTCTGCTCCATTTTCAGAAAGAAAAGTGGTTGGCAGGAATAAGTCACACATAAGTCCAGAATCTATTGCTTTCTGAATGTTGTACATGGTCTTGTGCAGCTGCAGCAAAACCCAGCCAAAACAAGATGTGGGTTGTGCAAGAGCCAGGATGGAGCTGGAGATCTCTGTTGAATCTCAGGGTTTGTTTGTGAGCTATTCCTATATTCGGAATTTTATCCTTTCAGTAATCTTGGTGTCCTGAGACTACCCAGTAGGCACTTGCTACAGTGTGTAGCTGTCCTCTTTTAAGTACATACATAGAAAAAAAACACTGCTGTAGAGATTTGTAACCAGTATTAAGACGGGTCTGGATGAATTATGAATGGAAACATTTGTGTGTACAAAAGCACAATGAACCCGTCAGCAGCAGACCTGTCCTCTGATGACAAGAGGAGGACATCAAAATTAGAGAGCACACTCCTTCCATACCCTGTCTGAAGGAAGGCTGTTGCCATAAAGATGCCCCAGACAAGGATGCAAGAAGGTAGCAGCACTGCTTAAGATCCACGGAAACCGAAAAAAGCAAGACCCTAAGGTGAAAGATCACTCCATAATAACAAGTTAGTCCTAGAAAGCGTAAAAAACAGTGCAGGAGCCATCCCGTTGTGAAGAACAACTCAGAAGACACAGCGAAGGCGTGACAGATGGTGTCCCTGGCTACAGCACCCGGATGAGGGAGGCTTGGTGCCTGCACGGGGCGGTGAGAGCACGAGTGAGTGAAACCTAGAAGTGTGAATGACTGAAAACAGTTTTGTTTAGAATAAGTATCACCTTTCCCTTCTATAAGGTCTCACATTGCGTTTTATTACATTAATTTCCTACACTGGTGCACAACCACTGTGCAGTATAAAAGCTGATTAATATAGCTGGGGGACGTTTTGTACGGCAAAAAGTTAAATGCAGCAGCGGGTTGACATTGTCAGCACTTACTGGCATGCGCATAAGCTTAAATTCCAGGAGAGACATCCTTTAGACGAGCTAACCTCCAGTATACTTCATCTGCAGGTAGAACCCTAAAGGGAATAATTTCTTGAAGGTGGGCCTAGCATATCTGAGAAGAAGTATATCCCTACCTAATAAGCCCTTCCACAAAAAAATAAAAAAAAAAATAATAAAAAAAAAAAGGGCAGCATTGCTCAAATTCATGCACTACAGAAAATTCTTCAACTGCAGTGCTCTGGACTGGCACTGAGAAGCCGTAGCCAGCGCGCCACAACAAACATGAAAGCAGTCAGTCGGCATCACTTTAAAAGCACGTTTGTATGACTGACAGCAGGTATTTTAAGACCTTCTGCAGCAAAGTTTCACCAAATCTTTGATCATTTCAGTGGGCCACTTCTGGAAGTTCTCCTTTTAGTCCTTAAATTGAAAAGGATTACAAAAACATAGGGAACTTGGAAAAACAAACGCTCTTGGAAGATGACGTTTTGAATCCATTTTCTTCCCTGTGTGAACATACCGAAGCGACGCATGGGTAGGAAGAACTAGGGCAACCTCGTCTTGCTGAAAAACAGGTTTTTGACAGTCACTGGCGAAAACTGTCTCTGACCTAGGAGCATGTGCATCAGTCAGAAACCCAGCATTAAAAAAAACCCCAAACCTGCCACAGCTAACACAGTCATATGAAACTTCATTTTGCCTCCCTGGGAACACAGCTCCAGCAAACGAGAGAGGTCAAGAGAAATCTGATTTAGGAGAATACATTTCTGTTCCTCAAAGCTATTCCCCAAACAATTTCTTTCTTTATTGCAGGAAAAGAAAGCAAAGAAACTGCCCTCCCACCATGTTTCAAGAGAATAGAGCCTTCTTAGCTCTTTGTACTCTCAGCCATGTTTGCTTATCACTTCCAGCTCAGACAGACAGCTGCAATTCCCACCGGCTTTCCAGAGGAGATCAATTAGCCCACCTAGGAACAAAGCATCCAGGAACCACTTAATCACACTTTTCAGGGAGGTGAGAGGAGAACCATCCCGTCCCTGGCAGAGGGGCTGGCGAGGATGTCCTGGCAGCGTTCGAGGTTGGAATACCAAATGTTAGACTTGTTCTAATAAAGACATTTGGATTGTAAGACAGTATTTTTCTTTCTTTGTTGAGCTGATAGCTACATGCCGCCTGGCCTTCAGGGTAAAACAGCGCTTGTATGGGTGCAGTATTTTGTTGGCAGAAATACTCTCTCTCCAGGAAAGCGCAATCAAAGCAGCCAAAATATGCAATGACAGGACACAGACCTCTCAGAGAATTACACCCCTTCCCAGGAGGGTAAGCTATGTAAATATAAAAAGGAAAGAATTCTATTCTGCACGAAAGCAGATGCTTGCCCCGCATTGCCAAGGGATTGAACTTAATCACTAATCCTCTGCATCTCGTAGTGGAGGCAGAACTCCAAGCCACAGGACTGTGCCGGTGTAGCAGGAATATTTCCCCGGAGACAGCAGCTCACAGAAGAGATAAGGTACATCACAGCTTTGGAGTGACAAGATTGCTATCGCAGCCTGTGCCTCATTACTATTTCCAACCTTCAGCACAGATCTATGATGCCTTTCCAGGATTAGCCTACTTCTAAAGCTAAAGAAAGTCTCTCTTAATTTACAGCCTGTTATTTATTTAACACCAGAATCACATTAATTGAGAGCGCCTTTGGATTATCACAGCATTTTAGCAATATTGTATACTTGGAATACCACGTAGGACTAGAGAGTGTACAGAGCGATGCCAAGCGTGGTACTTGGCTTTAACCGAGCACATTTTAGGCGTACAAACATTTTGGCCTCATACCTAAAAGCACGCAATCTGATTATATATATTGCCCCCTTTTTTAAATACAGGAGGGGTTTTTTTGCCTCCAAAGATTCCCATGAATGGTCATCTTAATAAAATGATGATAATCTCCATATATGGCTTCAAATAATGGAAATACAAAAATGAGAACTGGAGACAAGTCAGCCCCCAAGGTTCTGGCCTAAGGATCCCCTGCTTTGCATTCTGGTATAAAGTCTAAGTGCAGCAAAGCATGTTATAACTTTTCTTGGGGTCAAAAACCGTTTCTTTTAAGACACTAACTTGTCAGATGAAACAAAAGAAAGCTGGTTACCAAAAGTATACACAGGCTTCTAAATATGTATTTTGATATAAGAATAACTATTTTGCTACTTGTATCCTTTTCATCACCTTGGCACTTTTTTTCCCCCCAAACCAAAAGTCTATCTCGAATTAGGGAAGATGGACAATGATTGTGCAACATTAAAGACTACTGGCTTATAATTTATTACCAGTAATGAGCCTCGGCTATTCACCCAGAATTATTCTTCTGAAGGCAAAGCAGTTAAAAGTAATGGGTATATGCTTCAGTTCAAAATAATGAGGACACTAAAAAAGTATATAAACATCTAGAGTGTGTGCCAGCTATGCAGGCAGAGAGATCCGCTCTGCTCTAATTGAATGGGCTGCACACCGGCAGCATAGGCCAGTCAGACAAACACATCATCTATCATGCTGGAGGAAAATTAATAGGTATAAGAACAACAGTGCATCCCACAAGCTCCCTTTCAATGACTTACTTTCCCTCTGATCCATAACTGTTCATGCTGTCCTCAATGGACTCATGGCTAGCTTGACGGACGGTCCGGCTGGGCATTTCAACAGCCAGCCCAGTTTCTGTGCTCCTTTGGATGGCTCCTTTCAGTCTCCGACCATCCCCATCTAGGAAAAAAAGGGGAGAGAAGACAGTCAGCTATTGTTCCCAGAGCCTTTTGCAACGACAGAGTCAAGGAGAAGCAGAGAAGGTCTTTCAGAAGATCAGCCTGGCATCTGGCAGCCAGGCAGTATTTTGCACTCACGCAGCGTTTCGTTACTCAGCGCTGCTTCATCAGCAGCCCCCAGTCATCTTTGGAACAAACCCAGTGCTCCGGCAAGCCAGGGCCCAGCAGAAACTCAAAACATACATACCACCTTACCTACTGCAACCATTTGTACCAATTAATTATGCATCGAGCGCAGGTGCAGGCAGGCACACAAGCTGGCTATACGTGGAGCTACCCAGTTCAGGAACACAGCAGTGGTAACCATGGGCAGAGCGGAGGTGTACAGCCTGACCATGCCTCGAAATGTTTCTAAATCCTGTGTTGCTGCCTCAGATGGTGCGGAGCAGCGAAGAGCCACAGCTCCAGGTGAGCATCAAGGGAGCAAAGGGGAGGAAAAGGCCAGGGAACACCAGAGGTGCCGTGAAGGCAGGAGCCCTCCCAAACAGGCCATAGGGGAATAGTTGGGCACAGCCAAAACGTTCCCTGGTGGCACCTGGAAAGACGCCAGCAGTGGAAAACCCTGGAGAGGACTATTCCCCTTCCTACGTGCCCTCGGCCACAGCACAAAGGGAATTAAGTAGGTTCTGGTTCCTCCTGGGTGCAGTCTTCAGAGGCTCAGCCCTCTGAAATTAACAGCTGCTATTTTCATCCTCCATCTCTAGCAGTCTGTTGCTCAGAACAAACCATGTTATGTAATGAACATGTAATGAATACCATTACTATTAATTGCTTTAGCTAGTGTTAGGAGGCTCCAGATTTCATCCCACATACAGCACTCATCCTGAAACACATCTGCTACAAGTTTTCTGAACAAAGCAGAATTATCTAAATCCTTTGAAGACGCCCGCCCATGAACCTGGATGCAGGCAACAAACCTCTGACACACGGCGCCCTCAGAAACCCATCAGCATTTTGAGTACCACCCCTGGGGAAGAACTGACCCAGCTACTGAGTCTAGAGAACTCAGGATCCCCAAATATTAAATAAAACAAGTCTTTCCCAAACACTTTGGAAATATGAGGGTATCTGTAAGAACTTGTCTAAAATATACAAAATGTTATTTGCGTAGCAAGCTGCTTGACCTAAAATACTTTTCTTTAGATCTTGGTGTGAACAGGCACTTTAAAAAAAAACACAACAGTAAGATATCAGAAATGCTTCCTATCCCACTTCTCAAATTATACCTACACTGAAATGGAAAGACAAAAATTCTCCTATAAATACAGCTATAAGGTCCCTTTTCCTCCGATATCATGAGGTTTCCAACTGAGTAAACGTGTTGGCCCCAGGGCTCTGTACCAGCTGCTGTCCCCACATATGGTGCAGCATGTGTACGCGTGTCCCTATGGGCTAAGAGGATAGAATATGCATGTTCTGGGTTAACATTAACTACAGTTTGTATTGTTTGTGTGCCTAGAGCAATGCACGAAGCACATTGTATAAATCAGGAAGTTACACAAACGTAAAACATTTTTAACCTGCCTTCAAAATCCAAACCTTCAGGCAAGAATAATAATATAGGCATCAATAAAAACAAAGCCTCGTGAAACAGCCTTGCCTACTCCCCCAACCACTGCAGAACTGCTCCCTTTGACGCACCTTCTACAAGCCTTGTACAGCTTGCTGGATCCTCTGACGGGGTTTCTAGGTTCCTTTCAGCCTTGTGGGCAGACTTGACGGTCCATTTAATTTGTCTCGCATTCACCTCCACAAACCACGTTTTAGTCATCTACAACCATCAGTGTCCATCCCTCCTTCATGTGTGCACTCTCTGAACACTTATCCTTCCACACCTTTTGGGTTAGTCCTTACGAGAGCCTTGCTAGGCAACCAGAGTCAAAGCACCAAATGACATAAACGTAGGAAACAAATTAAAAATGCCCCGTTGCTCAACCACGCCACATCTGTTGTAAAAAATTTCTTATTTCCCCCAATCTAATGAGACATGCCTGGAGACGTTCATACTCAGAAGACTATGCATTCACATCTGGCAACAAAGCAGAGGCTTGGGACAGAGCGAGGCTTCGGAGCAACCCAAGATGCTTGCTGCTCTCCATCAGCCGCCTCCTGACTCAAAGCCAATGGTGTCAAGCACAAGTGCCCAAAGCCAAGGAAAGGCAGCACCAGGGAAGATGGGTAGTACCAGAGCGCTGTACCGGAGATGATTCAGCTGGCATGGGGCAAGTTCGGCTGTAGCACCATGTACACAGCTTTCCGCTGCTGCCTTTCTATGAGGGAGTGGTTTTCTAGTATTCCTGATTGATTTTACAACTATAACACATGGATAGTCTAATTTTAAAATAAATAAATAAATAATGGAGAAACTCTGGAAAACAAGACGACAGGAATAGATGACAAGAATCCTTCGTTCCTCCCTCATCTTCCCCTCCAGTCTCTTTTTGCCAGAACTTTCCCTTGAACAGGAGGGGAAGAAACCGTTTTGCCAAATAGGCAAGCCCCCAAACCACTGCGGCCAGAGTGAAGACTGAAACTGGGTAAGACATTGGCATAAGCACCAGAGATACCATCAGAAAGGGGACATCGTTTCCTAAATCACTCACTTAAACCCTTTAGTCAAACTTAACCCATAGTCAGGACATGGTCAAAATAGAGTGTTTTAACCCCTTCAGTTGGGAGAAAAGGGCATATCAGAATGGCCCACTTGGAAAGGAAATAAAAATGTACAAAGTTGCACTGCTTGGTGCAGCTTGGTGCAGACCAAAAACATTTTACAAGCCACAGTGACCTACTAGCAACCTTCTCTGGCCAGTGTGGAGCATCACATAGGGGCTGTGCCTCCTCTCCTACCTGAAATCTTGAGCTTCAACATCTCTGCAAATCAAGAAGGGAGATGGTTTGCCTCTGTGAGAGTGTTGCCTGGCAAAGCCATTTATCTAAATTTAATTGTTAGCAGTATCTGGAATAAGTAAAAGCAGTATTGGCATTTCTACAGCGTCACCAGATTTATTCCCTGCACCTTTTCCAATTAAGCAGTAAACGACAAAGGTTAAGCCTGCAGTGCAACACGCAGCTGAAGAGCGGATTCTGCTTCAGAATAACCTTGGGAAAAAGAAATTTTTTGCCCAAATACCAAGGCTGAAGACATCCAGCACCTCACAGACGCCAGGAACCAGAAGGGACCAGCAAACACCTTGCCAAGTTTTCTGTTTTGAGAGGCGCTTAGATTTCCCTCTGTTCAGCCAAAAAAAAATATGTCTGGCTAAAGAATATCTTCTAAAAAGCTATCCACTCTGTATTTAAAGATATCAAGTGATGAAGAATCTACCATTTGCCTGTGCAGTTGATTTTACTACCTGACATTTAGAGACATGACTTAAGTTTGTCTGGTTTCAGCTCTCAGCCATCAGGTTTTTAATGCCCTTCACCACGAGAGCTGCTTTGTATTCTCTCTATAAAGACTCTTCTGCAGTGTAATCAAGTCATCTCTCACTCTTTTTTGACAAGTTAAACAGACTGAGGTCTTTATGTTTCTCATGCTCTGGCATTTTTTCCTCCTGCCCTTGAATCTTTTTAATGACCTCCCCAGGTTTTAAACACCCTTTTGAGAACAGGCACAGCAGAATTGGAGACTGCGTTTTAGTGCAAAAGCACGTACAGAGGTAAAAAATCAGCTTGTACTCTCATCTTCACTGCTTCTGCTTGCATCTCCCAAGAACCACAGTAAACTCAGTACAGCATCACACCTCACCTGGATGCTGGATGCTGTACAACCCCTGCCTGTCCTGCTGGTACAACCTTGTAGAACATTATATTAAGAAACATGTAAGAAAACACATTTTATTTGAAGGGAGAGAGCAAAAAGTCCAGACAGCTCTATATAATACTCCCACTCTCAATACTATTTACTATCCTCCTAATGTGCATATCACCTGTGAATTTAGTAAGGTTTAAACTCATGCTTGCTCCAAATCAAATAAAAAAACTGAGTAGTACCAAGCCTTCAGAAGAGCTTCCTGCCCTTGAGGCTTTTTCCTTGATAACTACCTGTTGAGATGTGAAGTAAGTTTTTAATCTATTTGTCACTATCAGATTTTTAGGGTCATGTTGTTCTAGGACAAAACCCTTACATACTTATCACATTTACCCAGATACCTGCTTCTACTAAAACTCGGGAGGAAAAAAAAAAAAATACCTGACAAGGCCCATTTTCCCTAAATCCTTCTTGACTGGTATAATTATATTCACATAATTTTGTTCTTTATTAATTGCATCTCATTATAACATTTCCCCTTAATTCTGTCTGGGAGTGACATCAGACCAAGTAACCAAAAGTTCCTTCCAGACAACCCAGTAATGGACAGAGTAAGATACACAGGACCTGCACAGAGCACAGCATCCTTCGGAAAGTTCTCTTCCTTAAACATAGTTTCAGCTGTCAACTGCATCGAGAGGCGGCTCTTCTCGAGGATGGTGCAGCTTCTGTGGCAGACCTGCCCGCCACCATGAATTGTATTTGCCTTAATCTTGGGGGTGAGACGTAAATAAATAAATAAATAAGTGGCATCGTCCCCTGTTCTTCCCCAAGGAAAGAGTCACCATTTCTCATATCCTCTTCTATGTCAGTCTAACGCACAACACTTCAAAGCCCTTCCTCTCTGCTGCTGACGGGTCTCTCCGCTCATAGGACACAAAGTCTTGTAAAATCTATGCAAGTTCTGCAATAGCTCATCACAAGGTCGTGATTATATAATTATTACTACTACATAGAAGTACTCCACAATAGATGTTTATTGAGTTGATGTTTCTGAGGGACAGAGTGTGCCCCTTTTACCATTATCCTTCCCTACCTCCTCTCTTGTCGCTTCCTTTTCCCCCACCCAGGTGTTTAGCGCCTTCCTTCTCTTTTCCAGTTTGGTTTCAATTTTGTCCTCCA